AATCTCTTACTTGCTTATATAACGTATCTTTCAAAAATCTCTCTCTGTCCTAGCTTTCTAAAACCTTCTCTTGAACCGAGGCCAGAGGCTCGAGCATACGTCGCTTGGTCGTAGGTAACGCAAAAACAAATTGGCTTAGTTCATTTGTCGTTGGAAAGTGAGTGCCGCACAATCGCCAGTCTACTGCCATCAAGAGTGCGATTGTGACACCAGTCTCGCGATCTCTCCTTCACAATTGCAATCGCCAATTATATGTCTCTTGTTGATCTACACAGCATCATCGTCGTCGTCATAAGCACACTGTTTTTCACTCATCGATGTCACCGCTCGTAGTTCTTTCTTTCTTTCTTGAATTTTTGTCGCAACCAAGTAATCTTGTTAGTCGTCTCCCTTTGCACTCTCACTCGTGTTCAGCCAATGAAGATGTCATCATCATCATCACCGCTTGTCGACTCAAATTGTTATTTAGCCAATGATATAATATTTTAAGATTTTTTAATAAGAAATTTTATAGTTTGATTTAATAGTTTCTACTCCAAATCGATTTATTTTAAATTATGGTTTTAAGTTATTTATTTCAATTCAACAAAACCATATATTGATAATTCTTCTAATTATAGGATAATCAATTGTTTAGCATTAATTAAGGTGTTAATACGACAAGATCATGCATAACCAAACCACTATAAATAAATAAAAACTCATAAAAGATTAAATATTAATTTATTGTTAGTTGACTTTTACCTTTTTGCCAAAATCATATGCATCAGCCACGTTCTTCGTCTTCAAATAAATCAATTAAAAAATAAATAAAGTTTGTTAGTGTCCATGATTCGTGGGTTTTGTTGTATCAGTTAACCTAAGTAATGTTCTTGATGATGCCCACTAAATTCTTGGGCTGAGCTTTAGGTCGTGGGCTGGGCTTATTGGGCCGGGCTTTAAGTCTTGGGCTTTGTGCGGGTTAGGTTGGCTTGGGCTTTGTCAGTTCAATTTTTTTTAAAAGAAAAAAAATTAAAATTTTAAAACAAAATTAACTTTTTTTTTTCTTTTTAAAAAATATATTAACATTTTTAAAATTAAAATTAAAATTAAAGGGATAATTTTACAACCTAATTATGCCCCTACCTCTTTATCCGTTTAATCTTATCCAAACAAACAAATTGGACAGCAGATAAAACGACACCGTTTTTGTCTTTAGGAAGAAACGGATTACGTAAAGGGAAGGGAACAAGAAACCTCTCCCGTTCCGTAACGGAAAAAGAACTGCGTTGGAGTGGGACCCATATGAGATGACGTGGAGTATTCTTCCCTCGTGCCTGGCGTGAAGGGGGAGAGTGGGGCTCACAGGGATGGAGAGAAAACACGTGGCGAAAAGGAAGAGAAAATTGTAAATTAATAATAAAAAGATGCGTTGCTTGAGGAGGGAGGAGAAAGAGGGAGGGATCCAGTGCGGAGGGGTGCAGGGGAGTATTAAGGTACACGCATACCTCGTAAAACGAAATATTCGCGATGCCACGTAATCGGTGGGTGAGGTGGCAGAGTCTCCTAGTGGTTTGTCTGTATTGTAACCCTAAGCATGGTGGACATGTGGGGCCCCATCCCTCTCCCCTTCCACCGACCATTCGGCTCATCCAGACACTGGTTTCCCCTATGCCTCGTTCTTCCCGCCCACCATATTTTCCTTATCCTAAGCTTTCAAATAAATATTATACATTATTATTATTTAAATATATTAATTTTGGGTTACAAAATGTTTCAAAAATACTTTTAATTTTTTTACAAAAAGATTAAAAAAAAAAAAAATACACCCACATCCTCAAAAATATTTATAATTTCAAACATGTTTGAAGATAATTTATGAAGTGTCGACAAACAGTTTTATAAAAGTAAAGTGTGTTAGTGCTACTTTCAAAATTTCAGTACCAATAGTAATGATAGTTTTGAACTTTAATAAATGAAACTTTTCGAAATTTAAAGTCATTTTTGAAAAATTATTAAAAGTTTGAAAATATTTTTTAAATAAAGTATTACCAATTTTGTATCTCAAATTAACCCGTAAATATATATTTTTAAAAAAAATTAAAGATTTTATTGAATACAAAATTTATAGATATTTTTATTAATTTACACAAAAAGTATGCTATCTAATGGTGTCGATACTCATTTGCACCCAACAACATCACCACTCGGTTTAAACCTATCTTTACGTACCAATATGGAGATAACTTCAAATCCAACACGCTCCATTTTAAAATTCTTAAAATAAAATAAAATAATGTCTCTCGTATTTGCACATTTCCCCATCATTTTACCCTCTCTTCTTCCTTTCACTTTTTTTTTTCCTATGTCTCTCTCTCTATGTTTGTGTTTTGTTTGACTAAGAAATTCGTTGACCAGTCAACTGTGCTATTGCGTGGGCCCCACTTCCAACTCTCTTTTTCCTTCTCCGGCCCCCACCACATCCTATCCAACTCCAACACCTCCATTTCCCCTTTTTCTTTATTTATTTCATCTATTTTTAAATTTTACACCTTTTTTAATTTATATTTAAAAAAAAATTAAATGAAATAATATTTATAACCTGAAGTCTCAAAATAATAACAACATTTTTTTCATGTAATAACTCGATTTAATTATGCTTACATCCAAAAATAGTAACTTTATTGTTAATTTCAAACTAGAAAATAAAAACAAGACAAAACCAATAATGATTGAAATGAAGAAACCTAGTACAGTTAATTATTCAAAGATTCCATGTTCCTTAATCAAATCATATTATAACATGATTATTGATTCATATAGATATTATAAAATGGAGAATTAAAGTAATAATATTAATTAAATGCTAGGGATTCATATGGTAATCATCACTAAGATCTATCATAATTGCTTGTGTTATTTGGTGATGATCATGACAGCCTTAGAAATTTGGTTGCTAAGAGATTAAGAAAATCTAAATAAAATTTTTCAAAAATCCCCTTTGATTTTCCCGCTTCCAAATTCCGACATTCTTGGTCGTATATTGTAAAGTTTACAACTCCCATAAACAAAATCATTATGTTTCGTAGTTTATGATTTTGATTACACGATCATGGAAAAGCAAACCCATTCTCGTTTCGATTCTTTTATCGTTTAGCTCGTGGGTTAGGTTTATATCGTCTTGTTTATGTTCATAACGCTCGAGGGATCATTTGATTTGAATTAGTTACTAAAATTATTGTGAGATCCCACATCAATTGAATAGAGGAACGAGTGTCAGTGAGAACGTTAGCCCTGAAGGGTGGTGGATTGTGAGATTCGATATCGATTAGAGAGAAGAACGAAATATTACTTATAAGGGTGTGGAAACCTCTTTCTAGCAGACGCGTTTTAAAAATCTTGAGGGAAAGCCTAAAATGGACAATATATGCTGGTAGTGGGTTTGAGCCGTTACAATTACGTAGAACATATTAAACTCACTTTTAACATGTTTACCAAACATTAGGGTTAGGTTATTCAACAAAAGATTCTCAAGTTTATTCTCTTATAAATTCAAAGATTTTTTAAATATTCCAGATTTAAATTATTCTTAAGCGATCTAATTCAATTATGAGAGTTTCTTATACAAGAGATTCGTTGTTTTCACCGCTACCAAATATTGTTCTTTTTGGATTTTTTTTCCAAGCTTCTCTGCAAGGTTTTATAATGCGGCTATTAAGGGAAGGTTTCCACAGCCTTATAAAGAATGTTCCATTCTCCTCTGTAATTGATGTGAGATCTTACCTTCACCTTTATGAATTAAGGTTTGTTTGTGGAAATATATGTTTCAAGAAAATTCGGAAATATAATAAGGCATGCATATATATAATTAAAAAAACGTAAAGAGATGAAGAAGAATATATTCTCGTAGTAGACAACTAGCTTTATGATCTTATCGGTTAGGGAAAGGATATTCTAGAGAGTAGCTCTTCATCTCGTGTTGTAATTAGCCAAGAAAACAGTGTAAATTAAGTCGGGTATATAAAAATTTGAAGTCATATGGTGTAAAGATTTGTGGGTTTATGCAGGCATGCTAGGAGTTGGTACTTTTTGGGTACCTTTGGTTCATTTTTTTAGTGTAGAAATGGTACAAAGCCCCACCATATGACTCCATGTGTAGAATAATATTGGTAAAAGGAAATTGTGAGTATGACAACTCGATCAAACTTGTTGGAATTTGGGGAGCCCCTCCCCCATAACTAAAGCATTTTGTTCTGAGTTCAATTCTGGAATAACATCTCATACCCAGAATTCAGATCATACTGATATTCTCTTATAGTATGACCACGTTATCTGGTTCTATAAACAGCCCATTACGTGTCGCTGTAACGCGTCGATTAGGAAGAACTTTTCACACGCTTATAAGAAATGTCTCGTTTTCATTTCCAACTGATGTGGGATCTCACACTCTTATTCGAATATAGTATTGTTTCATTCATGTATCTCTCTTTTACACCGAACACAGAAGCTTTTTCATTTAAATTTATGAGATAAAAAGATCATTCTTTTAACCACATAAGTGTCAAATTTAGATAAAATAAGAGATAGAAAGAGAGAGAATCTCCATATTGGCAAGGAGAGAGAGAGAGAGAGAGAGAGAGAGAGAGAGAGAGAGAGAGAGAGAGAGTTTGGCTGCTTTGTCTTTTAACAATTCAAGTTATCCAGAAGAGCCACGTCATCAATCCCAACCAACAAAAAAAAACAAAAACAGAAAACAAACTATTTGATTTCGAACATCAATACAATAGTGTGGGACCCCACCGCCCTACGTTTCTCTCATAAAATAACAAAATGGTCGACGAAACCAGAATGTTGAATGCTGACATGGCATATGTGTGTGTGTGTTTTTTGCAACGTGGGACCCACAAGGCAGGTTTCATATGAAACCGTTGCTGAGACCAAAGAACTGACCATCACAGACATACATACAACAAGCCAACCCAACACAATCCCTGTCACCATTCTTCTCTCTCCTCTCCCTTCCTTTATATCTCTCCCTTCTTCTCTCTTCTACTCATCCCTTTACTCTTTCTTTCTCCTCCTCCTCCTCCACCTTCATCAGCTCAGCTCAGCTCAGGTCAGCTATGGATCTCTCCGCCGCCGTCCACCACCAGGTAATTAACCATTCTCCGACATGGGTTGTCCTCAATTTTGTATTATTCTCATTAATTTATGTCTAATTATTATTCCATAGGAAATTGAACAACAACATTCAAAACCCTCACTAGACCAAACTAGAAAGCCAAGGCCACAACCAAAGCAAGCCTTGAAATGCCCAAGATGTGATTCACCCAACACCAAATTTTGCTACTACAACAACTACAGCCTCTCCCAACCCCGCTACTTTTGCAAATCCTGCCGCCGCTACTGGACTCAAGGTGGCACCCTCCGCAACGTCCCCGTCGGCGGCGGCTGTCGTAAAAACAAAAGATCCTTCTCCTCCGCTAACTCATCATCATTATCATCATCGTCATCGAAAAAACCCCAAGATCATCCCTGTGCCGCCGCGGCTACCGTCTTACCTCATCTCTCCTATGACCACCAAGGGTTGGCATTCGCTAGGCTTCACAAAAACTCATGTGGGTCAGTTACTCCAACGTTCAACGACTTTGATTTCCCTACTTTGGGAATGCCAAACGGTGACGTTTTGAATGGGTTTCCGTATAATTCTCAAGAGATGTATTACGACAATAACAACAACAACAACATAGGTGGAATCGAAAGTGGGATAGATCAGATGAGATTACAACCGTACGATCAAGATCATCATGCTACGACGACCGCGGTGACTGTGACGACCATGAAGCAAGAGGTATACAACGCGGGTGACGAAAGTAAAATCCTTTGGGGTTATGCAAATAATAATGGAATTATGGATTCAAATATGATGATGGGTATGGATTTTGGGTTTAGTAATGCTTCTTCATGGCATGGCCTTCTCAATAGCCCACTAATGTAATACTCCCAAATATTATAGAATCATATCACCTTAGGAACAAAAAAAAAAAAAAAAAAAAAAAAAAAAAAAAAAAAAAAAAA